CCAGCCGTTTGGGTGTAGATCCTTGGGGCACCGAGCAATTGACCGCCGGTAGAGAGGAGCCACATACCGTGCTTGCATCGCCGGCAATAAGGATCAATTTGTGCCTGTCTGCGTCCAAGAGGTTTCCCCTCACGAATAGCGTCATGCTTTCGCCTGCCGTGAGGGGCTCTGTCGAAGCAAGATACTCGACAGCGCTGACAATGCTACCATCTGACACAAATCCGACAAACGACAAATGAGACGACCACAGCCGAAACAGCCTTTCTGCTGGCTTACCAATGCTCGTTGTTGAGTTATGACGCTTGTCCTCGCCATCAGCCGCCAGCGATACAGCGCACTTGCATAGACAGAGCTCAGGGGGCGTCTTATCGATGGTCGTTGTACAGACAAGCGCATCATCACAGGCAAGCAAGAATCCCTCCGGTCGGGCAGACTGGCCGCACGTTGAAAGACGTAGTCGGTCCGTTCTTCTGTTGAAGTCCTGAGTGAGAGTGATGCCTTGCATTTCGCCGTTGCTGAGGGCGAAGTGGAGGGTGCTCGGTGTGAAATCAGGAGCGAGCACGGGGGTCAAGAAACAGAGACACACCAATGAAGATCCACACACAGCCCCGGTGTGCGACTCTCCTGGTGTGTCTACGCTTCCTGGTGTCTCTGCTGTAGGCGCGATGGGTTCTGAACATAAAAGAGGAAAAGCATCAGCGGAGACAGCCGATGTGCTTTTCTTATTGCTCACCATCCACCGCCCGCAGCCCAGTGTAAGAATAGAATCTGTTTGCATTGCCGGCGAAATCGGAGATCGCTCCTTCATTCAGGCTGATACTTGCATTGGCGGGCCATCCATCGAACTGGACTGTCACGCCGAGAAAACTTGCATGAAAAGGAGGGATCATGGCGTCTGTGAGCCTCGCATTGGTGACCTGTTTTCGACAGACATGAGATATGATTTCCCTTCCCTCTGAGGCTGTGGCACCGTTGTGCATTAGTTTTCTTACCTCAATCCTCTCCTTGTCGAGTTCTGTAATCGGCTCAGAAAACCTAAATTCCATCGTGAAAATCTCCTTGTTTGTCTCAATCGTCTGATTCGTCTCCGGGGACACTACGTATGGGAGCTCGTTTGCTGCAGGGGGGCAATAGCAAAAGAAACCGCGTCATGTCGCTTATTTTTCCCTGATTACCTGTCGTGATAACGGTGTGTGTTGCAACCTCATTCATTGCCGTGCCTCCCTCGTCAATGGCCACACAGGAGATCTCATACGTGGTGCCTTGGACTAGCTCAGAGAATGAGAACTCACCACGTCTGCCCTTAATCCTGCGTTGCTGCGCTGATATGCTTGTTGTAGGGGGCTTGTTAACTAAATCGAAGTCGGCAGGCGTGAAGGTCGCCTCGGGATGGTCATTCTGGATGGGCTGACAGAATATATCCGCTGTCTCATCCGCATCCACCTCAATCTGGATTGTCGTCTCGCTGACGGTGATGGACGTTGTGTTGAATTCAAGAGAGGGAGGAGTGACATCTGCCAGACACAACGACAGAGCAAGTGCAAATCTCTCACTGGCTTCACTGTTTGCCACAAATAATACCATAAGCAAGCGCCAACTGAGCCGCTTGAACGTTCGTGTTTCCGGCGAGATCCACCACCTTTCCGGCATCCACTCTTATGTCAATGTCCCCCTCAGCGGCTGCTCGCATGCGTAAGACATTGCCGTCCATCGACAGAATTTCGGCGTTTGTCAATGTGAAGATGCTCCCCGTGATGGTCTGCACATCCTCCGAGATACTCATGGTGACATTGAAGTCTGGATCTCGTGTTTTGGGGGCAGAGGGAGAAGTGAGGGTCACCACTGGGGGAGTTGGATCTGACAGTAAGCAGAGAAAGCATAGGAGATTTGTGTGGCTGAGTGCAGCCACGCTTTTGTTTGCATGTCTACCCACCGTTTTCGACGTTTATTGTGTTAGATCTCGTATTCTTCAGCCCAGCTGCATCTTCCATCGACTCCTCGCTCGGATAAATGCTCAAAATTCCGCCTCCAGTCTTCGCACTTGGTACACTCAGAGCCACGTCAAAAAATATGTCGGTCAGCTCTTCGCCCGTGGAAACACTGATACTTTCGCCGTCGATGAAGAAATGCCAGTCAACAGTAGTCGGCGGCGTACTGAAGGAAACATTGACAGGAACGGAGCTCGTGTTGATGAGAGATGGGGCACTTAGTGTGGCGGTCGGGATCCACGGCAGAGACTGGCCCGATGCGATGTAATCTGCACAGAAAAGGAAAGTTGACGACAGACTTGTAGGAAATCGATGCTTTTGTCTTTACCGAAGGTGACGTTAAGAGGCTCTGACTCTTGATTTGGATTGCTTGCGCCGTCGACAGCCAGTCCCTCGTTTGCTTTGATTGTCACGATGTCTTTCGTTGGAATGACATCCAATGAGAATGAATTGCCCGTCCCCGTGATGCCGCCAGCCGCCATGTCGCCATTGGTGGTCCTCAGAGCCGAGACATCGCTTATGGTGACATCCTTACTGAATGAGAGGTTGACATGGAAGGGGTAGTCTTTGGTAGTCTCCTGGTTGTCTTGCAGATACAGCACTGCCGTAATCGTGGTCTGATTGGTGGGGGTCGCTGGAAAATGGTTCGAATGACACATGCCCTGTGTGTGTACGGGCGTTTGTTGTTGAGTCTTACTGTAGTTTAGGGCGATGGAAGCTGGTGAGTTGCTCCTGTATGAGGCGGCGTCATCGACCACCACACCGCTTCCGATCGTCACATTCACTTTGCCCGCGACTGTGGGACGCAAGTCGACTGTTACTTGTGCTATGCAACAAACACACACACAGGGAGAGGTCGATGATCACACGCATACGCCTCTGCTGCACAGAGATCATCTCCGAATGGAACGCATCTTTTGCCTTACATGGCTGGACGACCACATTGGAGTACACAACTGCCGCCGTTGCCTGCTGTGCAGGATCCAGCGCCTGAAGAGACAGTGTGAGGCCTTCACTGATGTTGAAAGTAGTGACGTCGATGGGGACGTCAAAGGTGACAATCAGGTGGATGGGAAGCGACTCCCACGTCGATTGGGGGGAGGACAGGTTAACCGTGAAGGGCACCACCTCTGACACAGATGCACCAAATTGTGCACACAGGTGAACAGGTCTACGTGTACCGTAAGTGAAAGTGAAGTTGGTGTTGGGATTTGGGTTTCCAAATGCGTCCTGCGGATCAATCATGAGTAAGAAAATGCAAATTTGTAAGTGCACAGATGGATGTGAGTGTCCACTGTACCTGCACAATGCCCTGCATGACGGTCAGCTGCAAAGAGGTCACGTTGCTGCTACTTGGCGGGTCGGGCATTATCTCCGCCTCATAAAGTGTGTCATCGCCAGCCACCGGCCTGCACACGTAAGCACAGGCCACACTCATGAGAGGATGCGTGCGTATACCTCATGTCAATGAGAGTGCCGTTGGTCACGAAAGACTGCTGGTCGGCCGTCGCAAAGCCAGCGGACACAGGCTCGCCGAAATCGATCGTCAGAATGATCGGCGCGTTGTGATAAACATGAAAGGGGTTCCTGATCGATGGGACGGGGAGGTCTGTTTTGTAATAGCACCAACGGGTGGTGTTTCCATCAGCCGAGTTGATGAGCGAATAGTAAAGGCGACACTCGGGCTCTTCCCAACGTCTGGTGTGTTCGATAGCAGTACAACGCCTGTATACACACATCTCGCATCTATTGCATCACCGTGTGGTGTTGTCCATCAGCGAAGGTACCTGTCTTCAATGCACTCGATTGAGCATTTCATCCGCCTCTCCCACTCAACAGTAGCGTCAGTCCAGGAGCTTACGTCTCCAAGAGCGTAAGGCTGTTCCTGGCCATTGTGGCGACACGAGCCATCAAGCTTGTTAACTGCATATTCGCATCTGTGAGCGTCTTCAATCACGGATTTTCCAGTGACATACCGCCGGTCGCTGCAGTGCCGTTCTGTCTCCTCTGGATGCACATTGCGTTGGGCGAGGGGGTCGATGCGGGAGTAGCGATGCTGTGGTGAACCTCACATAGCCTCTCGCTATCTGTCTGCACACCCACTGGCTGCACACAGACACACACACACACACACATGTACGCTTCTGGATGACTGCCACAAGTGCGCCTCACCGAAAGCTGAAATCCTGAGCACACGACGCTCGACAGACAAAGGACAGCATATTCATGCCTTCTCGCCTCTATGTCATCCTCAGGGATGGTCGAATTCAGCGTGTAGCCATGAAGGAATGAACTGTTCTTGTACCTGCACAGAAGCCGGAGACCATGCATGTCTCTATCGATGGGCCTGTGAGCCTGTGAGTCTTACGAGAACACTCTCTCTGGTTGTTTGGTGACCCCATCCTGTTTTGTTGCGTTGTTGATGCACTCAGTGTCTGGGTTGTCCTCTGCAGACACATGCGGTCATACACAGTAGTCAGACATGGTAGAGAGGGCTTTCTTACTGAATTCATCCTCCCACTCCGAGCCTGTGGCGTTGCCTGCAGTGCAAACATGACCAAACGATGCAGCGTCACCACATGCTACATACACCTTGCGTCTTCTGTGATACTGCTGACATGGCGTCCATAGCCCAAGCAAGAGAGTGAGAACCGCAAGAACGGACGGCATCTTTTGGGAGACCTCGACTGCGGTCAAGAGGAACAACTTGAAGCGTGGTGAGGCTGAGATGGCTCGTCGTGACCGCTTCCCATGTGCAGGTGGCACGGGGGGGGCCAAAAAAGTGGGATAAGCTCGCATTTCCCGATCGAACTCATGTCAGTGAGCCTTTTCCCCGCATAAAGGTCTCCGCCCTATTGTCTCCGCCTCGAGCACAAGCACACACTCACCGCATAGACCGCACAGAGAGTGGCTCAACCACGCAAGTACACACAGGTGTGAACTGCATGAAGGAATGCGTCCGTTCGAGTGAGAGGTCTCAGTAGTAACGTGCATCAGCCTGTGAGCACCTTTGCACCAGTTATGCCTACGCACACACCCTTACGCGTGCAAGGAAAAACGACACTAGTCAGCCCTCAGCCCACCCACACACCAGTTCTGATGGATCGGTCGATAAGACAGGCAAACCTGGTGCCACTATCGCACAAGACACTGACCTCTAGTCACTAGACACAGAAGAGAGGTAGAGAAAGACAGACAGACAGACAGACAGGGAGAGGAGAAAGAACCTGGTTTGTTTGTTTATGTACACGCGAAAGGGACAATACCTACACATGTATACGTATACATATTGGTGGGTGGGTGGATCGGTATATGTATATAGCGCACCGAGCCAGCCATCGCCATTAAATAGCATCCAATCATAAAACGCACGAATGCAATGCAATGCAATGCAATGCATGCATTGGTTGCACGTTCACACCACACACTCGTGTCGGCCGCAAACTGCAATCCGCATGAATGGGAAAACTTGCAGAAGACCTGCGTACTGCCTATGCATAGCAGACACACTGCACCGTCATACGCATAAATGCACGCAGTCACGCAGCCACATGCACAAACACACACGCAGGCAGCCATCAAAGCACAAATGGCCCCTTCTGCACCCACCACCCCTCCCTCCCCGCTCCCTCATCTACGTCCCCATCGGCTGCCCCTGCTGCCCCTGTTGCTGCTGTTGCTGCTGTTGCTGCTGCAGAAGCATGTCCGCAAGGTATCGCTGCTGCACTGCCCGAATGTCAACGCCTGGTATCGATATCAGATGCAGGTTGGCAAGTGTAGGCAGTGCCGCCGCCGCCGACTGCTGCTGCTGCTGCTGCTCCCCCTCGGGCGGCTTCTCGTCCCACGCTGTCCTCCTCCTGACCGCCGGCAATGCCTCCCCCTCCCTCTCACTCTGACGCGACGGCCCCTCACCGTCATCAGCACCCATCGCCCTTGGTCGCTCCCGCTCCTCGCTGCGGGCCCTCTCCCTCCTGGCACGTTTGTGGTCCCTTGAGTCCCGACCATTGCGGGAACTGCCGCGCTTTCGAGGAGGGCGGTCAGTGGACGGGGACCGGCTGCTGGACGGGTGCGATTCGATGACCCTATCCTGAAACCCACTGCCGCCCCGCCGGATCTTGTCGCGATCCCGCCACCGGCGACGGTCGTCGGGGCGATCGCGCCAGTCTCGCTCCTTGGACCGGTCGCGACACAGTGGCTGCTCTCCGTCCCTCTCACGGATGGGTGGCCGCTCTTGCTGTCTCTCCCTCTCCCTCTCCCTCTCGCGAACGGGCGGCCGGTCTCGCTCACAGGGAGGGGTGATCGCCGGTCTCACTCCCTCGGCGTCAGTGGTGGGCGACATGCTGGGCGATGGCTGTGGCTTGGTGCGGGAGAAGTGGAGGTGGGGGTCGAGGTCGGGAAGGTCCTTGTGGGGCGGGTGGGGGGTGTAGGTGATGTTCTCGGGGATGTTGAAGGCCTGGCGGACGGCCTCGGGTATGGTGATGTATGGGTGGTGGATGGGGGGGCCGTTGCCCTGCCGCAGCTCCTCGACGAAGGGCTCGTACAGCTTGAGCAGGGCGTCGGGGGCCTCCTCGAGGTGGCTCAACGCGTTCTGCAGATCCTGCACTCACAAGACGACAGAACAAAACACCGTACCGTGACAGTGTCCTGCCTGCATTTGGCTTGGCTGCATGCACCCGTGTCTCTCTCTCTCTCTCTCTCTCTCTCGTCTCCCTCACCGTCGGCAGCTCGATGTCGACCTTGCGATGCGCCACGTGTGGGCGGCCCTCGTCATCGATATATGGCTCGTTGAATGCGACGTGGTTGCAGTGCAGGAACACCCGTGGGCACCACCGCTGGTCCTCCTTGGCACGCTCCACGTAGGGCGAGCCCTCGGCGTAGGTGGTGTCGCGCACTAGGGGGTGGGGGGTGCCGGGCGCGGCGTTGTTGGCCATGTGCACACGGATCTGGTGAGTCCGGCCTGGCCATAGAGAAAGAGAGAGATCAGCCGCATCGCATCGCCATCCCTGTGTGTGTTGGCAGGGGTGGAGTGACGTACCTGTGTCGATTTTGAGTGTGACGAGGCAGAATCCGTCTGTTGGGCTGTTGATAGAGGTGCCCTTATGCTTGTAGACCTTCTGCACGGTGAAGTGGCTGATGGCGTGGGTCAAGTGGTTGCGTTGGCTCTCGTAAGCCTCGCGCGTTCGACGCTCCGACGGATTGTACACCAGGCAGTTGTTGATGGTGCCGTGCGGGCGGACCCTCATCTGCCCGTAAACCTGCCACACACACACACAGACACACACAGAGAGAGAGAGAGGGGAATGCGTGTGTGGCCATCGCGTGTGTGTGGTGAGTTGACTGAGGGGGCTGACTGACCAGTGCGGTGTAGATTTTGACGAAGTTGCGTCCCTGCATCTCTGCGTTGAGGTACTGGTAGGCCCAGCTGTCTTTGGCGCACACGATGGCGCCCGTGGTCTCGCGGTCCAGCCGCTGCAGGTAGCCATACTGCCGGCTCATGTCGCTCAGAATCGGGTACTTGGCGTGGTCCAACGAGTGGTAGGACCAGCCCTGCAGACAACACAACGAGCATGCAACATCCATCCAAGCAGTGACAAGCTTAGAGAGAAGGGTGTGTGTGGGTGTGGGTGTGGGTGTGTGAGTGTGTGTGTGTGGTGCGGCTGTCTTACGGCCATCTGTGGTTTCTCGCCGTTTGTTTCCTTGGCGGTTTTCATCTTGTCGACGGTCAGGTTGGGCAGGTCGAAGGGGTCCTTGGTGGCAGACAGCCAGTCGGGCGGCTTGTATAAGACCCAACACCTGCACACAGACACATCAACAAACGACACCGCACTCGCCATCATCTCCCTCTCTCCGTTCTCTGTCTTGTCTCGCTCACGATTGCATCTCCTTGACGACGCTCGGCACTGTCCACGGAATGGCCTTGTCCCTCATTCCACCCACCAGACCCAGCGACGCCGCAGCAGCTGCTGCTGCTGCCGCCGCCGCCGCCGCAGCAGCTGCGGCCGATGCACCACCAGACCCAGCAGAGGCACCCGCACCCCCACCACTATTCGTCCCCCCGTTGCCGTTGCCGTTCGCGACACCCAACATAGCGCTGCCACTGCCGCTGCGAGAAGTGCTGAGGCCGCTATCCGACCGCCCGATGGCTGCCTTGGACGTCGGCTTGGCCGCCGGCTTGGTTGCGTCCTTCTTGCGCGGGATGGGAGCCATGGGGCGAGATACCGTCGGCTGGGGTGGCTGCTGCTGGGGCTGCTGCTGCTGCTGTGGTGGTGGGGCCGATTGAGTGGCTTGAGTGGGTTCTGGCTGATTGGCGGCAGGTGCTGCTGGCCCTGACGGCACTGGTGCTGCTGACGCTGATGGTGCAGATGTGCCGTCGGGTGCCAGCATCTGGGGCTCGACATTCTGTTCGTCATCGCCTGAGGACGCACAGGCAGACGGACAAAGAGACAGACAGACAGACAGGCAGACAGACAGACAGACGTGCAGACATGCTGCTTCCGTGTTTATTTGTGCCCCCTGTGCGGTGTGCGCGCCCTGACCTTTGTCTACCTCCATGGAAGCAGCGCCGGCCTCTGGACGCTCCTCGCCTGCAGAACATCAGTCAACCAAAGGAGCCTGTCTCTGCTTGGCTGCCTGCTCGCGCGTGTGTGAGTGAGTGACGTCTCGCACCCTGAGCAGACGGGGACTCCTGTGCTGTGGGCGGCGATGGGCCGTCGTCCGTCTGGTAGGCCTGACCGGGTGACGGTGACGGCCCCTCCTTCTCTCCCTTGACCTCACTCGATGCCGCCGCCTCCCCAGCCGAGCCCTCCTGTTCTTTGCCCCCCTTCTCGTCCTTCATAATGACGTCCTTCGTCGATTCCTCCTCGGGTCGAGACAACCCGGCCGCCGCATCGACCTCAATGGCAGCCGCCATGTCGGCCTCAGCTGCAGCGGGGGCCGCCTCTCCCTGCCCCTCTCCCTCTCCTTCCCCGTCCCCCTCCGTATCAGCTCTCCGCCGCTTCTTGCGCGTGCGGCGGTCCTCCTTGGCCTCCTTGCTCTCCTTGGCGTGCTTCTTGTGCTTCTTCTTGTGCTTCCGGGGCTTCTGGGGGCGCTTGGGCTCGTTCTCGCTGTCGTTGTCCTTGTCATTGTCATTGTCCTCATTGTCGTCGTCATTGTCTGGCGATATGGCGGCGGCGGCGGCGGCAGCAGCTGCATCTGCTGCTGCTGCTGCTGCTGTGGCTGAGGAGGGTGAGTGTGAGGGGGAGAGTTTCGTGTGGTGCGATGATGCCGCTGCCGGGGACGATGGCTTGGGGCGCTTCTTGTCCGCGAGCCGACGACGGGCCTTGTCGCGCAGGCTGACAGGGAGGGGAGAGGAGGGGAGAGGAGGGGGTGGGGTGTGTCTGTGTCTGTGTCTGCTGCCTTGTGTGTGTGTGTGTGTGTGTGTTGCCTACCGTCTGAACCATTGTTTCTTGACTTTGACGCATCGCTTCAGGAGAAGAGGGGAACCCTCGAAGCTGAAGCGATGACACACACCACACAGAAACACACGGAGAGTCACATGGCGTTCGGCTTGCTCACCCTGATGGCTAATGGAAGGTGCGTTGCGGTGCGTACCTTGTCTTGGGTTCCCATGTGTTGAGTTTGGCCTTGTATCCCTTCCACTTGACGTAGTACTGACCGTGGCGATCGTCCTTGGCCTTGCGGTACTCCTCTATACGCTGAACACACAACCGAACCACAGAACCACAGCGCATCGACACACATGAGATGAGGTGGGTGGATGCTTGGGTGTTTGGGTGTTTGGATGTTTGGATGTTTGGATGTTTGGATGCGCGCGTGCTCACCTGGACTTCGTACTCGTTGACGGTGCTGTCGTCTTCGCTCTTGTCATTGGACTCGTCCACAAGCTCGTCGCTCATGTCAGAATCAGCATCACCTATCAACTCCATCCCATCCTTCAACACACACACACAACACACATTCCCCTGCTTCCCTTCGGCTCTCTCTCTCTCTCTCCCTCTCTCTCTCTTACCACTTCAGTCACGCTGATGTCGTCACTGTTGGCGTCATGCTCCACGCCACCACCGCCACCTGATGCAGTCCCTCGGTCACTAGGCACACCACCAGACGACGCACCACCGCCGGCACCACCAGCAGCAGCAGCCATAACCGCGGCGGCAGCAGCGGCTGCAGCGGCCACACGCCGCTTGGCAGATGGGGGGGAGGGGGGCGGCATGGCTCGCTTGTCGCGGTCGTCGTCATCCTGAGGCAAGTAAGCATCGACAAACAACATGACAAAGCACATCACGAATGGGGGAGACGCTCTATGTGTCTGTCTGCCCCCGGGGCGCCGCGCCCCGTCCCCACTCACTCACTCACTCACTCACCTGAGCAGCAGCGGCATCCTCCTCCCCCTCCATGACTACATCGCGGGAGGCCTCCTGCCCCTTGTTCTGCTTCTTTCTCTTGCCGGCCCCCAACTCCTCCGAACTCTCCTCGGTCGCAGAGCTATCGTTATCGTCATTATCGTTGTCCTTGTCCTTGTCGGCAGCAGAGCCGTTGTCCCCGCCGCCCTCTGCTGCCGCTGCCGCTGCTGATGCTGATGCCGGTGACGGTGCTATCTGGTTGACAGTGGTGCGGTAGAAGTCCTGTACGGCTGCGAGGATGCCGGCGCCATGTTCCTTGAGGGTGAACGACTTGGTCTTGTTCTCGCCGCGGTCGTTTTTCCACCGGGCCGTCATGCCCCTGTACAGGCCGTCCTTCTTGAAGGGGGTCACGGAACGCGGAAGCTCCCCCGCAGCCTGATTTAAATAGATGCAGTCACACACAGAGACGTGTGTGTGTGTGGGTAAAGGTCAGGTCAGGTCAGGTGATAGCTCACCTTGAGCTCATCCATCCATTTCTTGAAGTCGACAGCGGGGTCTGACGACGGCTCGCGCGACACGCACGGCGAGGTGGGTGCATTCTCCTCCCTGGCCTTGCCACCACGGCCCTGCCCCCTGCCTCTCCCCCTCCCACGCCCCCCAGTCCCCTCGGTCGACCGCCCGGCACGCCCACTGCCACCCCGCCCTCGCGATCGGCCGCGGCCACCGCGGCCCCTTTTGCCACGGGTGGCGGGCTTGATGTTGTCAGAGGGCGTGTGTGATGGTGGTGGGGGGAGCGATGCGTCACGGTTGGAGTCCTCCTCGTCTCTGTCTCTGTCTCGTATTGACGCGTCGTCCTCGTTGTGTCGGCCTCGGGGTCCCCCTCGCTGTCCGTCGTTGTCGTCTGATGCTGATGCTGACGGGGCGTGCCCGATGGCGCCGTACTCGATGTTGGCCTTGACGGGGTCCTCGCAGTACTGGGGGAGCACTGCGGGACACACACACTCATTTGTTTGTGGTGGGTGGATTGGCATGGCGTGTGTGGTGTGTTGGGTACGCCTAGGTGGTGGTGTCGGGTCGGAGGGTTTGTTGCTCTTCTTGCGCTGCGTGTTGTCGATGATGAGCATGGCCATCTCGATGCCCGTGATCTCCTCGTTGTCGCCGTCCTCATACTCAATGCTGAACAGACCGCTGCTGCTGCCGTAACCTGACACAGTACCCTGCACATGCACACCCACACAAACACATGGGCAGATCGGATGATCTGATCTGTCGCCTGTTTCTCGCCCCCTCCCTCCCTCCCTCCCTCTCTCTCCCTGTTTCGTCTCGTACCTGGAAGTAGTAGCTATTACGCGCATCGTTCCACGCGTTGAATTTGCGATCGATGACCGACTTGCCCAGATGCACCCCCAGCAGCGGCACCCACCCACCACTCTGCCCACCACCCGAACCAACGCCCGCAGACGCAGCCGACGCACTCCCGGCACCTTTGCCGCGAGGGACCGCTGCCGCCGCCGCCGCCGCAGCAGCAGCAGCTGGTTCTGCTGGTTCTGCTGAGTCAGGCTCTGGTGGGGGTGGTAGGTTGTGCATGTGCAGCGAGTAGAGTCGTTCGGCGATGTAGCACTTGTACTTGGTTGTCATGTTGGGGGGCAGGTCGACGAGAATCTCGTCCCCCGGGTTGAGTGCCGTGCCGGGCCTCCGGTGCAGCAACAGGTGCGGCCACCCGTCGCGATACACCTACACCCATACCCAGACACACATCAACCACAACCCACTCGTTCGTGTGCTGTGCTGACCGACCGTGGCGATCTGCACGTTAGATTTTCGCTTCTGCATGCTCTGCAGCACCGCCGCCGGCTGAAAATACGCGAGGCGGTTCTTGGCCGCGCGGAAGTCGAGCATCAGGCTGCCGTCCTTTGGCACAGCTGGCCGCTGGAGCGGCTGCTCTGGCTCCGGCTCCTGCTGTGAGTGGGAGCTGGGTGTGTTGCCGTGGGGAGGGTGTGGTGGCGGGAGTGCGTCGTGGACGAAGCGCAGCGGCCAGATATGCCGGGGGTCGTTCCATGACTCGGGCGTCTGCGGCACCACCTCACCCGTCAGCTCACCCAGCAACGTGATGCTCTGTGTGCACGACAAACCAAACCAATAGCCACAGCCACACACAAAACACACAGATCATCATTCCATCTGTGAGTTGAGTGCCCCCCTCCCTCCTCCCTCCCCACTCCCTCCCTGCCTCCTGACCTACCTTGTCTGAGGCAGCCTTCGGCTCGCCCCGGTAGACGCACACGAAGGCCGAATCGTCTGCCTTAAGACCAGCACGCTTGGGGTGTTTTGGGTCGGTGACCCGCCGCAGTTCCAGTGTGGCATTCTCCTGTCTGGTGGCGTCCTCAAAGATGCGCAAGAGGTTGGGGTAGCCCTGCAGCACCCTCGACGAGGTGAAGTAGTGGGGGGACGCCCTGGCCTTGTCGCAGTAGTCCGCCATCTGGTTCTTGATGGCCGGGTCGCGGCACAGCTGGTGCCCGGCGTACTGCGCCTGGTCATCTCGCAAGGCGTCCTCTAGCGCAACAACCGCTGAATCAGATGTCATGAGTGCAGGGGTGAGGGCAGGGCAGGGCAGGTGTGATGAGGCCGGGGCTCAGAACGGCCGCATGAGATCACAGGACGAGAGAGCGCGCGGAGGCCAGAGGGGCGCCAGATGTGCGGGCCTTCTGGGTCTCCCCGGCAGCAGCGGTTTCAGGGAGCACCCCAGGCCAGATTGCGAGCTTTTTGATTCTCACACGCCTTTCGTGAACGGCGCGTGACGAGGCTGTCTGAAGCCGAAATCAGCATATCCCTTCATTTGCTGTCGAAGATCTGCCTCCAGTCCATCGTTTGACTCATCATCACGATGGCCAGGCGGCTGCCCAAGACTCTCACTGATCAGTTCTTCCGAGCACAGCCAGACGTCGCCCCAGCTGCAGCTGCCACTCCCACTCCCACTCCCTCTCCCACTCGCAACAGCAGCAAACCCAACGCGTCAGCCAAAGCCAAGGCCACCCACCATGCCAACAGCGGCAGCAGCAGCAGCAACAGCAGCAGCAGCAAGGGCAGGACCAAGCGGCCCATTCCACTCGCCATCAGCACCACTGCGGAACCCAGGCAGCAGCAGAGAAACCATCAGCCAAAGGGAAGCTCAGGCAAGGACGACACGAGCCCAACCGACAGCTGCGCGTCAAAGTCAAACGAGGAGTTCCTCCTCGGCGTTCAAGACTTGGCCCGAGAAGGCGACACAGAGGAGTTGAGGCGGCTGTCCGTTGACTTCATCCGTCGGCTGGACACCATGCGGCCCAAGCAGATCAGCCTCTCACTCAAGGCCTTCGCGCAGTCGCCCCTCAACGACGGCAACGCGCTCATGCGCAGCGCAGAGCTCTTCCAGGAGGCGGCCTTCAGGCTGGTCCCCTTTCTGCCGCAGTTCGGCGCCACCGACTTGGCTGTGACGGCTCACGCTTTGGCCCGGATGGGGCTGAAGAGCGATGTGGTGCTGGGGGAGATTGCCGGCCAGGGGATGGACAAGATGGGCAAGTTTGGTGGGAGCGACGTGGCCATGATGGCCAACGCGTTCGCGAGGCTGAATGTGGTCAACTACCCCCTGTTCAAAGAGATGAGTGAGTAGGCACCCAAGACACAGACAGAGGGGCAGGGAGAGAGGAGACAGGTCACACTTGATGGATGGCCTGTTGCCCGCTTCTCTCTCTCTCTCTCTCTCTCTCTCGCTCTCTCTCTCTCTCTCTCTGTGTGTGTGTGTGTGTGTGTGTGAGTCAGGCGAGCGCATCTTGCCGCAGCTGTCGCTGCTCAACGCGCAGGAGCTGTCCAACATCTGCAACGCATGGGCGCGGCTGCGCATCCCTGACCACTTCCTCTTCACGGCCATCGGCCGCGAGATACGCCAGCCGCACCGCCTCGAGGACTTCACGCCACAGAACCTCGCCAACGTCGCCAACGCCTTTGCGAAGATGGGCGTGGGCAAAGACAAAGGCATTGTGCCGGAGCTGTTTGACAACATGGCCGTGGAGATCATCAGGAAGGTCCGTCGGTGGCTGGGCTGGTGGGGGCTGGATGGATGGAAGGGGGGGGTGGTGTGTGTGTGTGTGTGTGCAGGCTGTGTTCTTCGAGGCTGCTCACTTGTCGATGACTGTGCACGCCTACGCCAAGGTCAACGCCGACGCGCCACTGCTGTTGGACACACTCGCCCAGCCCATCAAGGGTCAGCTTAACCAACACGTAGCCCTACCTACTCTGCGCACACACCAAGAAACACAGACACACACACACCCGTTGTCTGTCTGTCTGTCTGTGTGTGTGTGTGTGTGAACTGCCTCGCTGTGCTGTGCTGTGCGTCAGAGCGTATGGATGAGTTTGAGGTGCAGAACCTCGCAAACGTCGCTTCATCCTACGCCAAGCAGACGACAACGGTGCGCACGCCCACCACCATGGATGGCATCCACATCCACGTGTGGACGTGTGTGTGTATTGTTTGTGCAGGACCACGAGCTGTTCGAGCTGATATCGCGGCGGTTCCGCAAGATCAGCCACACCGCCAAACCAATCGAGCTGGCAGGTAGCTCCTGTAACACGTCCACACGTCCACACGCCCACGGTATCAAACGGATGTGTCAATCCCGCTGCCTGGGTGTCTGTCTGTCTGTCTGTGCAGCGATCGGGAATGCCTTCGCGAAATGCGACCTGCACGACCCTCTCCTTTTCGACACGTACACACACACACACACACCACTAGAATGGCAATAATCCTCAGTGCGAATCTGTCTGTCGCTGTTGCTGCAGGCTGTGTGTGTCGTCTTTGAGGTGCCTGCGGCAGTTCAACGGCTGGTCCTGCTCCACCCTGCTCAACGCTCTCAGCAAATTCGAGGGCGCCCTCGGCACCACCGTGCTGGAGGAGTTCGCTGCTCACATCGTCAGCAATGTCCCTGCCCTCTCACCCCAGAGCGTCGCCTGCATCGTCAACGCTTACGCAAGGGCCAACTACAGACACGAGCCGCTCATTCAACATCTGTTTGGCGTGCTGAAGGGAAGCCTGGAGGGACCACAAGAACAGCAGCAGCAGGAGGTTGGGGAGAGGGAGGGAGAGGGAGAGGGAGAAAGTCGGGTGGGCTTTCCGCCGTCAGCCTATGTGGCTCAGGAGAATGAGGACACACTCGAGAGGGAGTTTTCCCAGCAGCACCTGGCCAACGTCGTCAACGCCATTGGCAAGCTGCAGCCGAGCAACAAGACTGAGGTGACCCGCTCCCACCACACAGAGCGACACACCGACAAGAAAGCCATGGCATCACACATCACACCAATGGCTGGCTCCTGCTGGCTGCAGATGATGGCCTTCCTGTTGCCCCGGGTGGTCCACACAGCCCCTTCTCTCTCACCCCAGAATGCCGCGCTAATCCTCAACTCATTACCCAAGACGCTCACCGGGCAGACAGACGCCGAGACCCTCCGCATGTTCCGTACGGCATTCGCCGCCCTCGGCGCGAGGATCATCAGCGTCAACCTGTGGGCGGTTTCGACGCCCTATCTGCTGCTGATACTGAACGCCTTTGCCCGGGTCATGGCGCCAAGGTACATGGGAGGCGACGGGAGCTTCGAGACGATGGCCGACCACCTGCTGCCACATATGCCGTTCAGGTGCAGACAGCCAGGCAGGCAGGACGACAGCCCACACATAGACACAGATGAGAGCTGGTGTGTGTGGTGTGTGGGATGCTTGCAGGGTCAGGGAGCTGGAGGCCAACCAGCTGACCATCCTGTGGCACGCACTGGCCCGTCTCAACTTCTCCCATGAGAGGCTCAGCCAGCTCCTGGCGTCAACGGAGCTCTACAACCCACCCCTCCCTGTGTCTGCAGCAGCAGCGACAGCAACAGCAACAGCAGCCGCGGATGCAGAGCATCGGGCCGGCTCTGTGCGGGGGAGCGATGTCTTGGCTGACCTCTACGGCGCGTCGATGAGGAGAATGAGGAGAGGGGAGATGACGGCCAGTCAGTTTGCTGTGGTGGTCAAGGCGGCGGGCAAACTGGACGCACTCGCCGAGACGGTGAGGGAAGACAGCAACACGTGTGCTCGGCCGCCCCAGGTTGTGTCTGTCTCATGGATCTGTGTGTGTCGGCTGCTGTCTTGTTTTGTCTTGTCCATCACCAGTTCCTGCAAGACTGCTCAGCGCTACTCGACCGCGGCCTCCTCAACGTAAGACACACATAACGGACCACCCCACTCTCCCTCCCATTGCGCACATCTGTGTCTCTGTGTGTGTGTGTGTGGCCCATTTACCCACCCATCCGTCAGGGCGCCTCTCTGCACCAGGCCGCGTCGCTGCTCGAGGCCGTCAGCTACCACATCGCTTTCTTCCAGGGCCAGGGGGATCATCATGATTATGGTCATTACGTCTGTGAGAGGTGCGTCGATCTGTGCGGGAGCATCCTGGCCCAGCGGTGTAAGGCCGTCATGGGGCCGCCGGGGGAGGACGGCACGTGGGAGCCGGACGGGCTCATGCAATGGGGTGAGTGTCTTTCCGCACATCAACGCTCACAAACGCACACGCACACAAGTCGGTGTGGTGTTGTCAGCTCCTGCGAAGAGGAAAACCCTCCTGCGGCAGCTGAGCCTCGAAGGTGCCGGCGCATCACCTGCACCAGACGAGGACCACCTCTCCGAAGACACTCTTAACGACACTGGTGACTATCACCCCTCGCCATCAACTTCGTCTTCGTCTCCGGCGTCTGTGTCCCTGCTGCTCGACCCGAAGCTGCTCAACGAGGTGTGGGCGCCGATTAGGGTGGCGCTGCGGTGCGTCCTCCTGCTGCCCACACAGTTCCCGCCACTCTTCCGGCAGACAACGCCTCAAGACCACCACCACCAGCATCACCACCAGCAGCAGCAGAGGGAAGACACCGCTGCTGTTGTTGAAGACGAGCTTGGCTGGGCCGAGGAGGCCCCACAGCAGTCGTGTCATAGCGGCTTGGAAGGAGCTGTGGGTGTGGGTGAAGGTGAGGGCGTGGCAGGGGAGGTGATGCTGGCCGTCAGCAAAACCACCACCACCACTTCATCAGCACCCGTACCCCTCTCTATGCCCTTGCTGCTCTTCTGGTCACCGACGAGAGGGGCGTCGGGCTTCACCACCGCCACCCCCACCAGCAGCAGCAGCAGGATGACGACAGCCATGCGGTGCTTCAGCTCTTCTCCAGGCCGGCCACCACCCACTCCACCCACTCCGCCACCACAGCAACAGGGCACGCAGGCGCCGCCAGCGGCAGCAGCACCTGTTTGTCCCCCGCCTGGCGAGAAGCAGTACAACGTGCGGGAGGAGCTCAGGAAAAGCCTCGCACGATTCGCCGAGGACATGCCGCGCGTCATGGTGAGCTAGTCTATATGGGAGGGGGGAGATGAGGGACCCTTGCCATGGTGTGTGGCTGTCTGTGTGTGGTCAGGGGTCTGGGTCACGAGAAGGTCGGCCGCCGCCCACCCGAGGGCCATCACGGTCGCCATCGGGCGGGTCGGAGATGTCTTCCCGCTTCCACGAACAGCTCGCCAAGTGAGTCTGCCCTGCCGGTCACTCGCTCAGCCAATGTGTGTGGTGTATCTGTGTGTGTGTGTTGTGTGTCGTGTGTCAGCACGTTGAAGCACATGGGCATCTCTCGCATGAGCCACGAGGTGCAGGTGGGCCCCTACATCCTCGACGCCGTCATCCCCCCAGAACAGATCGACCTCTTCAACAGCAACCCTCCCACACCACGACAACACAACCAGAACCACCTACAAGAAGACGACGACGACGACACCACTCATACGGACCGGCAGCAGGCTTCCGCATCGTTCGCCGCAGCACCGCCCCCGCCCCCGCCCCCGCCCCCTCCACCACCACCACCTCCACCAGGCTTCTCGTCATCTCCACAGAACCAAAATCAGCAGCAGAGGCCGGGGGCACTGAGGAGGGGACAGACATATAGGCCGAGTGCTGCTGGGGGAGGGCAGGGGGAGGGCCGGTGAGCAACTGGTGGCCGGGCGTCTTATAGTTGTTCTGAAAGGCCGTGGAGACAGACGTCCATGGCGATGTCGGCATCGTCATGCCCGCCCATCTTCATGTTGGTTGTGCGTGTTGTGGCTGTCTGCTGGATACCTGAGATGGTTTGAATGAATGAACGAGCGAACGGTTGTGTCCTACATATCATTCCTTCACTGATTCGGTCCGTCGGTCGCTTGCGTGTCTGTCTGTCTGTCTGCCTCGCTAGGTGTACACATCACGGCCGCCAGCAGCCAAATACACGGCAATGCAATCAACCCATGCATGAAAGCACTGAGCCATCCATCCACCCATCCATGGAAACACCCACACACACCACTACACACATGTCACAGAGCTGACACACAAAGGGGAGATATATTTACAAACGACTTGTCGGGCCGTTGAACTGGGAGATTCTCTCTCCTTCCGCCCCTTTCTTTCCGACAGGAATGGCTTCGTCTGTTGAGAGCGCCGCGCTCGCCCTCTCGTGCCTGCTCGTCGCAGCCATGGTCCGCAGCGCTGCCGGCGCCGGGCGAGAGCTTGATCCCGTCCAAGGCGAGGGCCAGGGGCTGGACATCGGCACGAAGGTGCCCGTCGCTTCCTTCGTCAGCCCCGAGGACCTTGAGAAGATCTTCGCCAAAGACGCCCAGACGGAAGTCATCGAGAAGGACTTTTCCTTCACTGTACGTAAGCAGACAGGGTGGACTGACTGGCCGGATGGGGACGTGCTCTGAATCGTCTCTCTCTATCTCTCTCTCTCTCTCTGTGTGTGTGTGTGTGTGTCTGCCTCTCTGTCTGTCTGTCTGTCTGTCTGTCTGTATGTTGTGCAGGAGGGCCCCGTGTGGGTTCCTGAGCTTCGAGATGGCAGGGGGGCGCTGCTGCACACGGACCTGGACTTGAACAACGTGTACGAGTGGTGTCCCGACACGCAGCGCGGGAGAGTCTTCTTCACCAACTCGGGAGGCTTCGTCGAGTGGTCCGTCGGCCAACGCAACTCGGACTTCATCTTCATCAGCGGCAATGGTAGGTGGGTACTACACTACCTTCAGGCAGACAGACACTCCCCCTCCCTCCCTCCACACACCGGCTCTCTCTCTGGTGTGTGTGTGTGTGTGTGTGTGTGTGCTGTGTTCCCTCCTTCAGGCCAGGCCATCGACCCCACAGAACGGAATTTCCTCACCATTGCGCAGCATGGGTCGTTTCGTGTGTCGAAGATCGACCTTGGGCCGCTGATCAAAAATGGCGGCGCGCTGGCGCGCATCGACGAGTTCCAGACCATAGTCGACAACTTTCAAGGCGTGCGCTTCAACAGCCCCAACGACGTTGTTTACGCGTGAGGACCTGCCTGCCTGCCTGTGCAGAGAGGGATGTGTGTGACGATCGATGTGCCTCGCCGTCCGTCATGCGATAAATGTTATGTGGGTGTGTTGTGTGCAGGTGCAATGGTGGCCTCTACTTCGGCGACCCACGTACGCCACACGCTGCACAGGCCAGGCGGAGAGAGAGAATGAAGATTCTGTGCCATGCCGTGGCATGCTGTGCTGTGGTGTGCTGTGCGATGAATGGAATGCAGCGTTCGGCCGGCAAGCCGTGTTCGGTGAGGCGAGAACGGAAGGTGACGCCAGGAGTGAGATCAACGACGCCTTTGGCTTTGTGTCCGGTAAGGCAGGCAGGCAGGCAGACCCCCCCCACACACATGGGTCGACGGATGGTCCACGATCACGGACGTCTCTCTGATTCGATCGATCCGTGTGTGTGTGCGCGTGTGGGTGTCTGTAGGCGTCTACTACGTGCCGCCCGACTCGCACGATGCCGAGCTGATCTTGCGGAACGTGTACCGCCCCAACGGCATTGGCATCAGCCCCGACGACAGCCTAATTATCGTCGGCGACAGCCTGTCGTCGTGCAATGTGCCGTTAACACTCACTGCAACCTGATGGACAATGCCCAGAGGGCCAAGAGTCGGACACCTCAGAGGGAAACTTGGGTCTCACCTTCCCCTCGGGAAGGTGGTATGTCGCCAAGTACGTGACCTCCGTCTCAGACAGACACACAGACCTGTCACACCACACGCAATCACCACGCACCCACATGGCGTCATTATATGGCGGGGTGGTTCAGGGTGGACCCGCACGATCCGAAGGAGACCCATGAGATCCTTTTGGTGTCCGAGGAGGAGTTCGCCGCCAAGGTCGACTTCAGCAAGTAACTAAAGCAACACGACACTCTGAGCGTGACACATTGGTGCTGCATTTGCTGACTGCAACAGAGCGGGCTTCATCGACGGCCTCGACATCTCGGCGCCCAACGAGCACTTCCCCAACGGAGTGCTCTTCGCCTCAGGACCAGGGGGCCTCTACGTCATCAAGGTGCCCGAGACCAAAGACGTTGATCTGAGCCAAGATGACGCAGGCGCCCCGATTTTGGCCTTCATCGACACCTCGACCTTCGCCGTCAACGCCCACGTGGCCCCTGATGGTTTCCTGTATATCACGGGGGGCGCCAATCTGTTCAGGATTAAGCTGGCCGACAGCATCAAGCCGGCCATCTCAAGGTGTCATTAGCCGCATTGAAGTGATGATATATGATGCTTCATATCGACTGCGGACGGGCAAATGGGCCCCCGCTCTCTAGTGTTTGGTTGGTTGGTGTTTTTGTGAGCAAGGTACGCCGTGTGTGGAAAACGTGCTCTCGTCTTGTCTCTTGTCTGTGTGTGGATGTCATGTGGATGGCCGAAGGAGAGAGAGAGAGAGAGGGGGGGATGATGTCCTTTTGTGGTCTTTTTCGGCTGCATGTATCGGATGCGAGAGATGACCTATGTGAGATGAGGGGAGGTCGGTGAGAGCACTAGTGGGCAAGGTTGTTCGGTACTGACGGCGAGTCTGTCGCCGGATTGGGTGGTCTTGTCATCTATCTGATGTCGTCTAATGCCGCGTTAAACGCGTTTAGACAGTAATGAATGCAGTGCACGCACGGCCGTGTCTCAGAAATGGGAGAGGCGTATTTTATGTGTGTATGTGTGTGTGGGTGGGTGGGTGGGTGAAAGAATTTTCTACCTATCTCTCTCTGTCCGTGCCATTCATCTGTCTGTCTGTCTCAGCCCTTGGGCTCTGTCTTTCTCCTTCTTCATCCGTCTGTGTGCATGGCCGTTTTCACATGTTTTCTACAGGCATGGCCATGCTACCTGCCTGCATGCCCCCCGACACAAATGCGCCGATGCATCCATCCATCCATTGCCACCAAATTGTGGCAAATTTGTTGATGCGTGCCATCTGTCTGTCTGTCTGTCTGTCTGTCTGCTCGTGCGGGTCGCTTTAAACGAATGAACGAATGGATGAATGGCCAGCCAGTGCTCCAGGCACTTTCTGTGTGTCACCTCTTATTGCTCTCGGTGTGCTCTCTCGTGTGTGTGTGTGTTCCTGCCTAGTATGTGTGTGTCCGCTGCTGCGTGAGTCCGGACAATGTGTGTGCTCGTGTGTGAGTGTGTGTGCGTGTGTGCGTGTGTGTGCTTGAGGAACCAAAGCTGCCTGACGTACGTACGCATGTGGGCAGAGACACAGGCAATTGACGAACGCATCGATGGCTGAGTGTGGAGTGGGGTGTGGGATGTGCTGATGAGCGGAAGCGCACGCACAAGGAGGAGAGGAAGGCCAGGGAGTGAGTGACCCATGAGCGTGGGGTTCGTTTTATCTCCATCCATCCATCCATCCATCCATCCCCTCTGTGCTATGCATACGCTGAATTCTCTTGCATAATTATATAGCGTGTGGATGGATGGATGGCGGCCGGGGGTGAACCAACGCTTCAAGCGTACGTAGTCGTTGACGAGGGTCCCTCGCCTCTCTCTCTCTCTGTTGTGCTGTGAAGTGAAGGAAGACATTTGTTGGGATTTGCCATGTGTTTTACGAGTCATAGCGCTCTACCTACTGTTTTGGCACACTTGAGCGTTGACTGACTTTGCTGCCTGTTTCCTGCCTCTGCCTTCATGTAAGTGGGTCGCCGATAAGCCCAGCCAGCCTGCATGTCATCGTGGGTCGCCGATAGCCCAGTTCGCCAAGGCCACGTGCCTTTTCGTGTTCGCCTTCGTGTTTGCCTGCCTGCTTGTTTATGTTGGACCTCTCTGCCGCTCTTTTATCAACGCTCGTGATTTGTGGGACTCTGCTATCCACACAACAACTTCAACAACATTTACCACATCTCTAGCTACGCGTTTGTGTGTAGTGTGACGCTGCCTGCACTGGCACATAGTAGCAATGGTCGTGGTGTGTGGTGTGGTTTGTGGTGCGTGGCAGCTGAAAGCGGAATCCCCAGCACATTCAGTCAGTATCTCGACTGTCAAGTTATCTTTCGGTCAGCGAAACGAAGTCGTTGTCTGTCGAGTCTCAGGATGACTGTCAAGACACACACATGCGCAGCACAGCAAGCTACAAATGCATTTGGAATGACTGTGGACGTCACAGAACCATGTCAGTTCGCAAACATACGAGATGACAAGAGCGCGTAATCCCGTCCGGCGCCACACAGGCTGACAGACCTCAGTCAGTACCGACTTTTGTTCTTTGCCCCACTACATCCATCGTGCTGCCGCCGACCTCACCCCACCTCACCCCACCTCACCTTACATCGCATCCATCCATCCATCCATGCATCGGAAAAAGACGAAATAGAGAGGATAACATGTTAACGCGGCATCGCTACTTGCACACTCACTCCCTTCCCCGCACAACGACATCGGCTCCGTATGATACAATTAGAAGAAACACAGCGGACAACGCACGAGACATTGACCTAAACAACACCAAACCAAAGACTTACACAGAGCGACCCGAGCAGCCCGTCGTCACTCGTCGGCTGGCGGGATACTCTGCTCATACGCAAAACCGATCGTCGGGTCATAGCGCTTCTTGACACGCCTCAGCCGAGCAACGTTCTCACGGTAGTAGGCCTGGATGAAACAGGAGAGCAAGAGACTGACTGATCCCAAGTGTTTTTGGTGGCGCGTGTCTGCAGCTTGTGTGAATTCCCCCACCGCACCGTGAGGTAGTCCTCGATGTCTCTGTCGACGTAGTTGACGTACGCAAACCCACTGGATGAGAACGGCGTCTGAAACACCCTGTGGACGTCCCTTTGCCACGCAAGGACAGGCTTCTTGTTGGTGTTGCCCGCCGCGGTGTCCTCCGAAGAGATGCCCGACTGCACAAGGAAGGTGACGTTCCTGTGGGGGAAAGCTGTGGCTGTCGGGGAGAGATCGGCCAATGCGCTGCCCCACGCTTCACACACACACGCACAATAAAGCTAGCTGCTCACAAGGAGATTTCTTTCAATCTTTTCGGGTGCGAGTTACAGAAGAACTGGACGAAGATCAGAGTCACGCCATCCAGACTTGGGACAGTCTTTCAGAGCTGCAGCAGATCGGCGAGCTGATCGGCGTCCAGCGTGTCATAGACGATAGAAGACCTCAGCTTTTCGAACCTAGCTGAACACACAAACAAGAAGACATGGTTCATTCGGACACATACTGCACTGCTCATCAGTCTGCAGACACTCACAGGGAGAGGGCGCTTCAATGAGGGACTCCGGGTCGTCGACTGGCAGAAGGGCACTGTCAAGAATGGACTGGATGGGGTCATAGACCACCACCTGCTGGCAGGCCGGCTCGCCGGCTGCTTGGAAAAGCCCGCTGCGCTTCAGCTCGTCCCGCAGCTGCTCCTCGGTGCCGATGAACTCTCCGTCAAGTGCGATGCCCCCAAACAGTGGCAGCCAGATGAGCTTCGTGAAGAAATCCCTTGACGCACACAGACGCAGGGAGGGAGGCATAGGCATGACCATTCATTCAACCCAGGCAGATAGATGCTTGTGTCCCTGCATGGCCTACCTCGGCGCTTTGAATGTCGCGTATTCCTGGTACCATTCAAAGAGAGGCACAAACTGGTCGATGTCGTACCGGAAGTTCAGATGTACTACGGTCGGCGACGGCACATAGAAGGCGGTAAAGCTGATTTGCGTGATGATGCCGAATTGACCTCCACCGCCGCCACAGCTCGCCCAGAAAAGGTCGCTCTCGCTTGAGTTGGTAACTTGCAGGATGGAGCCATCGTACGTGACCATCTCCAGGCGAGTCAGAGTGTCGCACAAGAGGCCGTACTTCCTGCCCCGATGCCCTCGGCCTCCGCCGGCTGAACTAACACACAGATATAGCCAGACGCGCACAGATCGCTCATCCGCTCTGGCGGATGGCAGGCAGCGTCTGTCAACGCGCAATGTGTCGTACGTGTGATGCCTCCCATGCTGCACACACACACACACACACAGGGAAGACACGGATAGAGGCGTTTGGTCATCTCTGTGTGTGTGTGTGTGCATTTCTACGGTACCCGACGCTGTGCTCCGATCCACCGTTAAACCACGCCTTATGGTCGAACCACAAGTGGTAGTAGACGTAGCCCTGCCGCACCCCCGGCCCCACCGTCACATCAAGCGTCTCGTTGTCTCGCTTGACCACCTCGAATTGACGGAGCCCCTCAACGTCGACCAGCAGTCCACCACAGGAGCTGTAGCCTTCATAGGAGTGGGCCCGAGCGCGCACACACAATCACGCTGTGGTTGGAGGCACAGCAGTTGCAGTCCGAGACCTCCTGTGCTGTCTGACACCGCCTTGTTGAGCACGACTCTCTCCGTCTCGTATAATTCAGAATCAGCAGGCGTGACGACGGCCACAGAAGCATTTCTCAGGCATTCGATCAACGGAAGCTGCCTGCCTTGCCTCTCGGTTCTTCCTGCTGCCTGTGACGAAGGGGAGATGAGGTCAGTCAGCAGGAGGATGGCGAGGGAATAGAGCATCTACCCGCCCTAAACGTGACGGCAATGACGTCTTGACGTGTCCAAGCAGAACCGCATCGGAATCAGACAAAAACCTCGCTGCGTGTGTTTACAAATTACAACGGCTGGTCAACGGCTCGCACCCGCGGACACGGTGGGGACTAAAGGAGATGTCGTGAGCCTTGCGCATGGGCCAAAAAGGTGCTGGACCATATCATCCACCCGGGCGCACGCCCAACTCTCATCGCCTCCGATCTCAGCTTCATTGTACATAAGCACGACGGACTCTGCGGCACAGATTCTCTTGACTACACCCGGCCGGGTGCTGCGGGTATCAGTCAATTGGATCGATCAGTTTGGTCGATTGATTAACGTTGAGGGAGTTGAGTCAATTTCAATTGATTGCACGGGACGGGCCACACACACAGAGAGAGAGCCCCACCAATACGCAGTCCACACAAACACACCAACACTCAGCCATACAAACACACGAGCACCAGCACCAACACCAGCAGCAGCAGCAGCAGCAGGAGTCGTCGAGCGCATATCATATCATATGTTGCCAGGAAGCAGGCGGGCAGACAGGCCAGGCCAGGCCGCCAACAGAGAAACTTGATAAACACACACACACACATACACACACACATAGAAGGGATGCACACAACACAACACAACACCTTTATATGTGTGAGTAGTGGAAGAAAGAGAGAGAGAGAGAGAGTGAGAGTCGAGAGGGCATTTCAGTGCTTACGAGGTCATTTGTGTCACAAACACACACACCATCATGGCCACCTAACC